GGCTGTTTCTACACTGACTCAGTTTAAATACTCAGATTTCCTGTGGGCCCCCCTGCTAACTGAAACAGCCCCTGCCTTTAAATTAATTTGTTTTGCTAACATAAATTTATTTGCTGGCTCAGTGTATCTGTCGCTGTGTTTTAGTCAAAATGCAATTAAAACTGGCTAACCCCACCTAACCCCCCTTTTACTATTTTAAAGCTATTATATGTTTTATGCTATATATTTTATTTTTGAGCATTATTGATTATTATTGAGTCGTTTATACAAACACGTGCAGGACTCATTGAAGGAGTACACCCTGAACCTAGAGTTGCCAACGTCTCACAAAGCTAACTCTATAATTTCTTAAAAGCAAATAGAACATGTTATTATTCTAATAAAAATCCAAAGATAAAGTACCAAATTATCAATTATTATAAATAACCCAGTTCAGAATTTCCAAATTGGCCAAGATCAGTGAACAAACTGGTGACTGGTTTTCAGGGTCCCTGCATTTTGGACCCTGAGCTCTTTCTGAGTTCATGATTTGTTTTGGTTTTAAGAGATGATTTATCAGGTCTCTCCACTCTGCCTTCTTCCCTCATGTGTGTATTTAAGTCCTCAGTTCTTTGTCACGTTGTCCTCTTGAGCTGCATGTTCCCTTTTACCTGTTTTCTCTTAGATTCTGAGTCTCCTGCATTTTTGACTCCAGCTATCTTAGTTTTTGCATTTTAGTTTTCCTGTGAGTTTTCCAGCAGTAAAGCTGTTTTGAGTTTAGTTCTGCTTCTAAATCCTGCAATTGGGTCCACACTCTGCCTGGTGCTGACCAGTGTTGTGTGTGTGACACGTAATTCTCGCGAAAGACGCTGGCTTGTTGTTTTACACTGTGTTTTTTTGGAAAGATTAAACACATAAGCTACAAGGTATTAATCATTAAGCTTTAGAGATGTTGTAGGATTTTGTTATTTTTGGAAAGACTATCCTTTTCCCAATTTCCTGTCTCAATGCTGAGGGTGGTAGCTTCACGTTTAGCACAGAGAGTGAAATCAGAGTCTCAGAAAGGACAGCGAATAAGTGAATTTACTAAAATTACAAACTTTTCTTTTAGGATAGGAAATCAGTAGTCTTTCTTTTTTTCCAACAGATTGAAAAACCTGATAAATTAAGGTCACAAAGTAAACATAAAAACACAATATTAGAAAGCAACAGTTTATTAGATTTGCCCACAAAGGTTTACAATGCCTACAGGTGTTTAATACTGCAGTATAACAGCTTTAGTTACCTATTAAGCTTTTAAAAACAGCATTTAATAAATAGTTTATAGCATTTTGTCCCATTGCTTTAAGCAGACACAAGACTTTTTTAGGGGTTATATTTAATAAGGGGCCATCATTGAGCTTTTGTAGTGACCTACTGTAGGTGTTAGTTGTCGTGGCCCCTGTTGTTAACCTAATTTGCCTTGTAGGACAATAAACTATTGAATTGAACTGAGCTGAAATATACATTTGACCATAGCTTCATATCACCTGTAAAGCTATAGTGACTAGTATTTGATTGTATTAGTGCATTTTTTCTTCTCTGATGAATTAGTTTAAAGTTTATTAATGTGAGTCAAAAAATTAACCCAAAAGTTTCATTTCTCACACTTTACGGATCTGTTTATGTGTCCAATTACACAAGTACACCTTTTCAGTCCTTTATATTGTAGTCTGACCAAAACAATTACATGTGATGTGTATGGGTGAGGAAAGTTACAGAGAAAACTGACACTGATTCATGATGACACACGGCCATCAGCCACAAGATTAAAACCACCTACCACCTGCTACGGTGCAGCGTTCTGCTCGGAAAGTTTGGTGCCTGACATTCATGTGATGTTACTTTGTCTGTTTTAATGTTGTGGCTGATGTGTGTACTTCATTCTTTTGCGTACCCCAGCAAACGCTTTGTAATTTAGCACTCGCAGCAAGGACAAGCAGCTAGACAGACGGGGAAATGAAGAAAAAGAAAGCAAAGCCTCAATCGGCAGTGCTGCAAGACATCAGTTCAGATATTAAACATATCATAGCATCACTCTTCAGGAAGCCACAGGTTGACTGTGCCAAGAGAAAATTATTTGTTTGCTTTTCTTTTTGCAGGTTTTTGTTTGTTTATTTGGGTTTTTTTAAAGAATTTGCAAGCAAGTGAAAGATTTGGGACAGGCACGTCTCACGCTGTTTCATTTCTTGAATGAATTGTCAAGTGGATTCATGTCTCTTTGTGGGTCAGAAAACCAGATTGAAAAAGTAACAAAGAAGAGCCTCGCTGTGGTTTTTTAAATGAAAGATGACGCTCTGCGAGTTAACTGGCTGAAAGCGCTTAAACAGTTTTCTGATCATGTCTCAGTGGACGGACAAAAATGATGCAAACTCTCCTCTTGTGCTGCAATAGATGGCTTCTTTTTAATTTATTTATTTTTCTTGACTGGTTATATTCACTTCTGATTGTCAGGATAAGGATGAAATGAATGCCCGACAACGCAAAATGAAGATCTTAAGACGCAACCGCTGCAGGAGGAAAAACATCTTACCTGCTGGTTAACTGGAAAATTCCGGTTAATCTTCTTCACCTGTGAAATTTAATGAGAATGTCAGTAACTCATTAAAATATCTCCTGCTAACAATCAGACACAGCTGACAAGGTCGACATATTTGCAGGAGCCCACGAGGCCCGCCAATCAGTGACAAAGCTTCCAAGAATAAATAAACATGAATTACAGTTTCCGTGCTAACATACTAACCACGGCACTGAAGGAAAACGGTTTGAGATACTTCATTTAGTCAAAGCATGCAAATTTCAAAATGAGATAGAGTCATTTCCACAAGGACCCGAGGCTGTTCCTAAAAGAAATCCTTTTTTTAAAATCCATTCTCTCTGTGGTAATAAAAGCGGGGGGACTACAGAGTGAGCAGTCAGCCTTTAAATTAAAACATTCTCCTCAGATCACAGGTATCGCTTGCACCTAATCCACACTTTACTATCAAAATAACTCTTCCTTAGGAGCTGAACACCAAATTAAGCTGTCCGGTCCTCATGCCGTCCTCCTATAGAAGGAGGAAAATGTCGCAGCAGCTTACTGTGAGATGTAGCTGAAGTTTGGGTCCAGAGAGAAAACAAGATTTTTGTTTTTTTTTTCCAGAAGATGAACTGTCAGGATGTGAGCCGGGTTTGAATATATGTGAGCGGTGACGGTGGGTTTGTTCAGATGGCAGGTCTATCCTGTTCTAACACAAATTAGGAAATTCTGAAGGGTCCGGTTTTTCAAGTTTTGCAGGAGCTTGTGCACATTTCACCGTATCTAAAAATACAAACAGGAGAAGTTTGACTGAAGTTTGTGGGCGCCCTGGAGGTGGCGTTTTCACACCTATAGTTTGTTCATTCTGCTTCCAATGAGTTGATGAGCTTGTGAACTTGCAGATTTTCCTCATTGTTTGGTTTCTTTTTGCACAAAGAAAACTCCAAGTGAGCTCCAAGTGAACCAACATGCGTCACGAATAACCAGTCTGCTTATAGTCCGGATGTGTCTGAGGCAGGAGCCATAAAAGTAAACACAGGAAGAAGGAACAATATTCTGGATTAGTGGAAAACGTGGATAATTTACTCCTAATGAGTTTTTATTTATCTGTGTGATTTTTTCAGGCACCCGAGGCAAAACAAACAAACTGCTCTGGAGTTTGCACTCTGAGAACTGAGAACACCTCCTTCAAACGGACTCAGTACAGTTTTTCTGGTCTTTACCTGAGTATGATTACTGTGCCCACATCTGTACAAATGAACCACACCAAGGGGGAAAACAAAGCAATGTTTAAAGAGGCTAAAAACACCCTATGTCACAACAGGAGCTGGCAGTGGTGAAAGGAGTACTTGGACCCTTTCTTTGAGGGCATTTTCACACCTGCAATTTAAATCAGCTGATCAGTTTGTAAAGTTGCAGGTTTTTCTTGTGGGTTGGTTTCTTTTCACACAGAGAAAACTCTCAAAAGTGAATCAAAATGTGTCACTACACACCACATGAGAACGCTCAAGCCCTGTTATTGGGCAGATCTGTCTCAGGCGGGAGCAGCAAAAGTAAGTACAGGAAGAAGGTGCTGTGTTCTGGACTAGCAGATATCAAATGAGCCCTTGGTTCATTTTACACAGCTATGATACTTTTCCACATCTGGAAAGCATACCTGGCAACAGGATAGCGTACACCTGGGAGTTGGGTTGGATCAGGCTTAGATCACATTCTCACCTGAAATAAACCACTTTGGAGTTTGTTTGTAACCGCACAAAGACCACCTCCTCCAAAGGGTCTTTTGGTGGTTGCTTGGTCCACAAATGAGTGCAAGTGCTGCACAAATGAACTGCACCAAAGGCTAACGAGCCCAGCAGCAAAAACACCCTATATAACTGCACAAATTGAGCCGGTGGCGCCAGTGTCCGGCAGCCTCGCCTCTGTCAGTGCGCCCCAGGGTGGCTGTGGCTACAATGTAGCTTGCCATCACTAGTGTGTGAATCTGTGTGTGAATGGGTGGATGACTGGATATGTAAAGCGCTTTGGGGTCCTTAGGGACTAGTAAAGCGCTATATAAATACAGGCCATTTATATAACTGCACAAATTTAGCCAGTAAGTGTAAAAATAAAAGTTATGATGAATTTACTGGATTACACATTACACAGGATTGCACTTCATAGTAGAAGAAGAATACTATCCACTGGGTACCAGACTCTCCAACAGGTGATATATGCCAGTATATGATAAATATCAGGGGTTTTTAATAAATCTATATAATAAGCGTCACTGTTCAGCAGAAGTGAAAAAAACACCTTTTTTTCTTCCTTGTTGATATCTTCTAATTTACTTATTTGAAATCTTAAAGTTAACAGCTGCAGTTAAAACCTTTAAATGAATAAATATTGTTTAGTTCAAATGAAAATCATCAGAGAAAATATAAATAACTTTATATTTAAACACAGTACTTGTATAAATATACTTCGGTGCTTCCCACCACTGGGAGCTTGTGCTTCATTCGGTTGTTTCTAGAAACTAAATAACAGAGCAATTCAGTCTTCGGCTGTTATAAAAACAACTAAATTGCCTTCCAATTTAAGAAAATTGGCCTCAAAATTCATGACAGCACACTGTAAACCAAACAACTGCATAATGAAAGGTGAACAGCTCGCTGACAGAGGTGGACAGACACTTAACAGTGGAGCTGCTCAATGCCACTGAGCTACAGCTTTGAAAATTGCCTCGGAATCGAATCAGCACCTCTGAGCCCAAGTCTCGGCAGAAAATACTGGAACGAGCTGGAAAACCTGAAGCACAGCTGTGCTAAAGAAACCACAAGGTCAAGGCACAAAGACATAACCTGGTGTGGGGAGCAGTAAACAAGAAAGAAATGAGTCATGACGAATGAGTCACGATTCAAGCTCATTCTTACTTCTGATTTGATTCACAATTACATTTGGAAGGGAGGCGGCAGGACGAGTTCAGCCTACGATATCTGTTGCTTCGCTGTGCAGCTGACTAGTGGGAGTTGTTAGAAGCAATGGAGTAAAAAAAACTTCCCTTCATAATGTTTCCACACTCCTTCAAATGATGCCTTAAAGTGCGCTGCTAAATAAATTAAAGAGTGGTTTCATGAACACTGGGATGGCCTCTCCAGTCACCAGACCTGAACATCACGGAGTCTTTATGGGGATTTGTGCAGTGCTGAGTGGATTTCCTCCTCCATCATCGCCCAGAGAACTGGAGGCACTTTTTTCGTGACGAATGCTTCAGTGTTTGAGTACAAACAGATCAGCTGAAATGTAAGCGAGTGAAGGATGACCCCCGGCCCCCATTAGAGCCTTAATTTTAATATATCTCTGTCTCGTTTCCATGATTTTCTCTGGTTCTTAAGTCACTCTATTAACATTTACTTTGAGCTCACGATGCAAAGCCACAAATAAGTTTGGCGGTTTTATGGTGTTTTTAAAATCTTTGTAGGACAATTTGTGGCTGATGTGCAGCACAATCAACCAATCAATAAATCCTTTATTTGTCTCTGGAGCGTAATCAGTTTTATAGTGGTGGAATAACAACAGGATGAAACCACAAAGCACATTAGCATGTAATATAAATACAATTATTATGCAAATTCTAAAATATGCCAGACCCTGACTGGTTAAAGTGTATCTGGACTCACAATGTAGCTGAAAAACGCAAATTAAATAGTTATGTAATACTCACTCAATACTTACAGTATGTGTGGTTAGCTACACTGTGCAGACATGTTGGTCTGGTGATTTGCTCCAGACTAAAATATCTCAACATCTGCATCTGGATTTAGATTTTGGACAGATTTGTGATTCCCAAACATGCATGGAAGGAGTCGCCATGATGTCACCTAAAGCTTTATGTTCAACAGTTTCAAAGCACTAGCAGGAGGAGCCTTGATTTCTCCCGTAAGACAATTTTTTTGATTTGGATCATTTTTAAATATATTTTCAATGTAGTAACTCAACAGCATAGTGGTTTACACATGTGCCAACCATGGTTTGATGCTGTGAGGAGACACAAATTCCTTTGGGGTTGCGTCAGGAAGGGCATCAAATAGTCCTTTCACCATCACACTGCTTACTCAAAGGGGGCTGTTTATTGTTGGAGGGTCTTAACCTTACAACATAAAACATCTTGAGACAACTGTTGTTATAAATTTGAAGCCATAATAATTAAAATTGTACTGAATTCAATTGAAAATATGCAGAGCTACCCACTGCAGTGACTCCTTCTCCTTCTAGAAGAAAGTGTTCTTGGGTTCAGTGAGTAGTGGGCTACTTTTCTTGTAGCCCTACTGCAACCTTCTCCTTTTCGTAATCAGATGAGTCGCCTCCTGCTGGCCATTAGAAAGAATGCAGCTTCCACTAGCTTTACCGTTCAGACCTTGAGGCTATATCTTTCAGTTAGCATAACAGATTTGTAAATCCCAAGAAAACAGAGTGCAATTTTAAGACAGGGAACCTCTGACATTTTTTCAAAGCCCATCTTCATCTTCTGACATTTGTGTTAACAACTGGACAGCTTGCACTCTCAGCCTTTTAGTCATCATCCTCTCATCATGAACTGTAATCACATTGATGATCGCATAGTTTTAAATGTGGAGTTTTAATTTATTTGTGTGCAATATTTCACTGCATTTTCCTCAATCTGCTCACTCCTACAACAGTGAAAGGTTGTAAATGATGCAGTGTAAACAACAACAATGCAGTTTGTGACCATGGTGAGTGGTGAATGGATGTGTATTTGTGTAACACTTTCTAGTCTTGCTGACCACTTAAAGCATTTTTACACTGCGAGCCACATTTAGCCATCCACACATCATACAGTGCTTTTTTCCAAGCACTTAAGCTATCACAGCAGCTCACACACCGGCGGAAATATCCAGGGCAATCTGGGGCTTAGTATCTCGCTCAAGGACACAAGGCCACCACCAGCAGTACCGCTGAAGTCGGTGATGCTTCATGAACAAATCAGTGCAGAAAAAAACCCCCATCTCACATGGAATATTACACTGCATCTCGACATTCTCTGCATTCACATTCACATGCAATTCACATGCTGATGTGAATTACTCAGTCACATCAGCATGTGACCAAAAGACAAGTGACAAGCTGCAAAATGAACCGTAAGATCACTTTCTGATGAGTGAAGTCAAAATAAACATTTTTTTTAAATGTCATGCAATAAGACACATTTTATTTCAGCAGATCCATCTACTGTATGTTACCAGCTCACTCACATCCTTCACTAAGTACTCGGGCCAGAACAGGAATACATTCTCAACTGTTCAAACTGCTGGCAGTGAGTCATCAGTGTTATGTTTAGTATGTCCCTCACTTCGTCCACTCTAATTAATCAGGGCTCCATTATCCCCCCAAGACTCTCTCTCTCTCTCTCTCTCTCACACACACACACACACACACCATGCCAAGGGACACATGATAATTACAAATCCCTGATTTTTACTGCTGCTCAGTCGGTCCCGTGTTTTTATCTATCTAGTAATTCCCAAAAAATACCAGAAGTTTCTACATGGAAATGAATGAAAATAAACCAAAATACAAAATGTTAAATGTATCAATTTTTCATATATGAGCAATGATGTGCAGCAATGGAGCTTGTTAAGCAGTATTGGTATTTCAGACCCCTGCTGAGCATGACCACTCATCTGAAAACACATAAACAGGTTTTCCACAAAGCTGAAGTAGAGCTTGGAAAATTGTATTCACAATAAGAGAAAGAATACAACGCAGTCATTTCTCTGTTTCTTTCTGCCTTGTGGTTTCATTTTAATGCAATATTTTTGGATGAATTATAGATAATATGAGTGCATACTGGCAGCTGGAAGGAATAAGTGTAGTACAGCGAGGCTGCTGTTATTGTGACTTCGAGCACTCAGGAATAAAATTTAACTTTATTCGTAGTGAGAAGGCCCACTAGTATGTGTCTACGGCCCTTAATGTTGTGACATTCAGAAAGGAACTGTTAGATAATCCACAAACTGCAAGCGTGTTGCATGAACACCCAAACCAATTTCCTGCTGGTTTACATGTGGGACCACGAGAGCTAACAACTGTTATTGCTTCTTACTCACATTGTGCTTGGTGAGGCTGGAAATGTTGCTTGCAATTGCCTGAAGCCAGTCCAAGCATTCTTCTGCTGTGGGAAACTGTATAACTCCACTGCAAACACCATCCACTGCTATGACCTGGAAAGCATTTTTCCTGAAAGAGTAAAAAAAACACAAGCCAAAGATCAGGGGAGGATTTCAAATATTTTACACATTCATATTTAGTTTCTGTTTTTATTTTAAAAGGGGATTAGAGACAGTTCATTGCATCCCAGCATTGGAAACTCTTCCTCTGGGATTCCTGTGATAACAAACTAAGCAAAACTGACTGTGGTGAAAAATGCTGCTGTTTAATAACTTGAAAAACTGAGGGTCCAATTTTCCAAGATTAATTAATTTAGCAACGTAAGCTAAGTGCAAGCTCATTAATTAGTTACTTTGCTTGTTTAGGCGATCCACATGCATAATATGAAAACAGATTTGGGGGAATTTATATTTCTTTCTCTCTTTTAATTTTTTTGAATACTGCACTACTTTTGGAACAGGCTGGTCAGGTGATGAAACACCTCAAAATATTAAATGTTCACTTCTTTTTTTTTTATATAATCCAAAAGCCGTGCCTGCAATATGAAAAATAAATGCAAAAACATATCCAGCAATATGCAGTTATTGAGATAAAACCAGAACAGTTACATATGTGATCTGCCCAGATTCCAGGTTTAAATGCATTTATTGGCAGCTGCATGGCGTCATATGCCATGTTCTGTTTCTGGTTTGTGTTCACACAGTTAGTTTTTTTTAAAGGGAACCTGCAGGAGTAAATATAAAGAGATGCAGACAGTGAAGCTGCTCATACTTATGAAATGCCATCTAATCATAGAGGATTGTTAGTCTCTGTGTGTTATACAAATCTTTCTAGAAACACATATTAAGTCCTCTGCTAGTTCAATAAGGAGAGATCGTTTGGACGATTTAAAGATATTTATTGAGAAAGAGAAATGAATGAATTTATTCTGTGATAAGACTCGGAACGAGATCCCATTGGTGAGAGGATTTAGGAGTGGACCTCCCAATGTCTAGACACTGGTGGTGGTGAAGATGAAGATGAAGGTTGGATGGAGGTCTGAGTGACTCAGGTGAGGTGGAGATGGGGAGGAGGTTGGTTGCACAAATGAGAGCCTGAAAGGAAGAATGACAGAGAACTCAGACTTAAACCATACAGAGTAGAGGCTGATTGGCTCAAAGAAGGTGATGTTGGCATTGAGTTTGATAGTGTGTGAAAGTGTCAGTGATGTAATGAACAGACTGGCAGCCTAGGAAAGCGGCTCGGTTCACTCTGGCACAGCTGGCTGCCGGCAGAGCCGGCGGGCACGCCACTGCAGCCCCTCTGGCTTCTGCTCCGTGGCTACTGGGTGACCCCTCGTCTGGGGCTCTCCTCAGCTCTTCTCAGGAGGGTGGCACGAATGTCCCTCCGGTGGTCCGACTTGGGCTCTCTCACTCTGGGGCCTCTGGATGTCTGGAGGCTGGATCTCCTCCATGCCTGCTTCATGCCCTGGGGGACAGGGCTATGGCTCTCTACATCCTCTTGCAGACCATTACACAGGGAAACCTTTTGAATACAAGCGCGCTGATCCACACAGGTGTGCACATGGGTGTTCACTGTTCATAGACATAAACTACACCTTTATTGGCTGCTATTTCCAAGCATATTATGCGCTGTCGGTCCTGCTTGCTACACAACAACATTCAATATTTAGTATTTACTGCTGTTTACACTTAGCTAGATTAACGTGATGGTGTTGTGTTTAGTATGTTGCTCTGGGTTTGTTTGTTTTTTGCTTGTTTTCTCTTCTTTTTCTCTCAACAGGTGATCCAGGAGATCTTCTTTTCTTCTTTCTCTTTTTAAGTGCCCTTTCTCACTGTCCCTCTTCCCTTCTGTTTTTCTTTTCCTTCCTCTTTCTTTCTCCCTTTCCTATCCCTCAGTCATGTCTGTCCCGTCTGTAACAACTGAAAATAAAATAAAATAAACAATAACAACAAAGGTTGATCAAATGGACCAATACGGCAATGCCGTGATGATCCATTTGGCAAAGTAAATCCATTGGGTATCCTTGTTGGTCTTCAGACAACAATTCTGACGGCTAAAGAACCAAATGGGACAGGCAAAAAAAAAAAAAATTCACAAAGCAGGCAGCTCAGTGATTACAGATCTTCCTTATTGAAGTTACATATATAGAGCTTTTCTGCTCTAACTAAGCACTTAATACAAGCTTTGGGTGCACACAATCTGGGGTTCAGTATCTTCCACAAGAGTACTTTAAGGTGTATTTAACAGCAGCCAGGGAATTGATCCACCAACCTTCCGACTGGTAGATGATCTGTTCTACCTCCTGAGTCACAGGTGGCACCGGGTGTTTCCTACAGGGACTGTATGATTGTGGGAGTTCATGCTAATATTGCAGGGTTTTACTTTACACTGTAAAGCACCATCAGACAGCTGTTGTGAACTGGAACTACAAATACAGTGTATGTACTACTGTGTATATAAAATAGTTTATTTTGCTTTGTGGTAAACTTCACTATCATGTCCCTTTTCTGTTCCAGACAGGCGTCAGGCAACAAACTATTGGCTTTTTGGTTCAGTTACTATAATCCTTTTCTCTGCGTATCCAAAGAGTTGCCCAAACTGACACGAGCAGAGGAACATAAATCTGGCTTTACTCACTAACCCAACCAAATCACAAGACACCAGTGAGGCATAAGTTAAAGTGTTAACCCAGCCAAATACTGATCGTGTGTTTAATGGGACACTCTACACAGTCTATTTATAGATGGAGCATTACAGTGTGCTCTATTTGAAAATCCCCAAGCATTTAAAATGTAAGAGATCTCTGCACTAACATCTTAAGAAGAAAGAAACTGACACTTCAGCACGAAGTCCCAGAGCTCACCTGGAAACGTCAGAGCCGGGGATATACTGTGACAAGCGTGAGTGTAGCAGAGGAATAAGGCGCAGGTCCACCCATCTCTTCTCCCAGCGAAGCCCTGGGGACGTGGGCCAGGACGAGCAGGACAGGGTGTCCTGCAGAAGTGTGAAACCGAAGTTAGAAGAGATGGCCCCTTCCCACCTCCAGCATTTGAAGCTGTTCCCATGTCAAAGAGCCCGAGTCCTGCTGCAACTATACGGTTGTTGCGGATGCACAGACAGCACAAGCTGCAGATTAAAAGTGATTTGCCGTCCTCAAAAGATAAAGATAGAACATCCTAGCTATCAGCAAGCAGTGACAGTTGCATGGAAACAACTTTCTGGCATCTGCTGCTGCGTAGTTACAAAAGGACAGCTACTAAATCAGCCAATCAAAAGAAAGGCTAATGAAAAAGTACCGTGTTGTTAGGATGGTAGTTCAAGTGCAGGCCACTATCACACAGAGGAGAGGAGGTCCCACTACTCTGGTCACTGGGGATGCCTGCAGCACACAGGAAAACAACAATAAACCCACAGCTACACCCCCGTCTATTTCAAGGTTTCTAGCAGCAATGAATCACAGCCATCATCTAAAGCGTGTTACTTTGTTCTGCTGCTCAAGTCGGCTCCAGCTCTCTGCCAATTTGTATTCCGTTGACTGGCTGGATGGCCAGTCAACCTGCCCTATATACGCAAATGAAAGGATTTCATGAAGCGCTTTCATGTCTCACAATAAAGCTCTGACATACGAGAGCAATCAATCCCGAGATTTTGTTAATTACTTCAGTTTAGTCTTTAGCATCTTTTCTGAAGCTTGAGATGGGTTTACTCCTCAAAGCAGCATCTTTACTCAGTGCTTAACAAGACAGGAAGTCCAAAATAAATGGAGCAGGAGCTGGGCGTATTTTTCTTTATTTCTCTCAAGTCGACTCAAATTTATTGTTTCCAGGGCGACCAATTCTAGACAGGAAAAAAAACCCCCACCAGCTATAAATACTCTTGGCCAATTATTTTCCACAGCGGTAATAGTGATTATGTACTTAGACCTAATACCGGGGTGAATGAGAGGGTTCTCACATGTACAGTCCTCACAAAGGGGCAGTTTCAAAAAGGCTGGAGTCTTCTTTAAGAAAGAGACCGTGAGAGTCACTTCTTCACCAGCATTTCTTAAAACCTGGACCTGGAAAGCAGAAAAACAAACAAACCTTGGGAATTTTTTTTTTTTGGTCTTCTTTACAGAAGCTGTAAACTGTGAGGTTTTTCTCGCTGAATGCTTGCTGTGATGAAACATGGTGTGCCAAAGCCTCGCTAAGAATGGAAATCCAAGATAAGGGATTTACAGAGTGCAACTTTTATGCTCCTTACTCACACATATTGCTTACAGATGAATTTAGGCAGGAATGAAAGAGAAAAAAAATGGCTTTACATGTCAGAAAGATACAAATCATGAAGTGAGACAAGATAAGCTGTTGAAAGAGTTGTTGCAGCGGTGAGAAACTATGAGATATGAGCTGACAGCTTACCACTTCCTCGTGGCGATAGCTCCTGACATTTATTCCATTTATCTGGAAACAACAATAACACGGTTAGCCTAAATGATACTGCTGGCATCATATCACTGTAGCTTTATCTTCAAAATGATTAATGGGGCCAGCATAATAATTGTTATGACATCTGCGGCAAAAACTGTTGCCATGTGGGAGATTTTCTTTAATCGATTTATTTATTTATTTTGGCTGAAAGAGATGCAACAAATTAAAGACCTTTATTAGCCTATAGGGACGCATAATTACGCCACACAGTTTTATGGACATGTGGCGCATGAATTATTAAAGAACGAGGAAACGTGTTAGCTCGCGGTGTGGGATGAGATGTGTAAACGCGCATTAATGCGGCGTGTTACCTGAAGGATGCCGTCTCCGATGAAAAGCAGCCCAGACAGTTCAGCTGGAAAGAGAACAGTCGCTTTAACGCAAACAAACAAGAGGAGGGGGAAAATGACGGGAAGTGGGGAGAAAAAACCCTGACGTTATACCTTTCTGCTCCTTTGATATTTTCGATATCACAACAGGGATTTTGTGCTCTGCTCCACCCTACAGAGAGAAATCAAAAAGAATTGGATTACGAAGGTATCACAAATGGAGAACAAGACTCTTGAGATCAACATCCTTGGCTGACACAGTTGTTGCACATTGACAAGGAAATAATCAATACCACTTGTTCAGACTTAATTCTAGGAGCTTGGGAGGAGCGGCCCTAATCTGCTGGGATCTAAATTACCTTGATGCTCAGACCGAACCCTCCAATCGTCTGTCTCCTGATCGTTACAGTCCTCTCCTGCAGTTAGAAAGAAGAGTTTAGACTGCAGGACATGATTTCAAGCTGTGGAAATGTGGAATTAAAACGATCTAACTCCTGAAGCTTTTCTTCAACTGTTGTAATGATTACAACATTTTTTAATACAAAACAGGAAGGTGGTTTATTGATTTCAGCATAAGTTTGAGCATTTTACAAATATTTGCCTTCTTTTGGTACTTTTTGTTGTATTGGGTGTGTTTTCTTTTCTCAGGTGTAGTTTATGGATTTTCTTTTACAGTGCCTTACTGGCCACTTTAGTAGGTACACCGGTTCAACTCTTCGTTAATGCAAATATCTAATCAGCCAATCACATGGCAGCAACTCAGTGTCTTTAAGGATGCAGAAATAGTCAAGACGAGCTGCTGAAGTGCAAAATGACCATCAGAATGCAGGAGAAAAAGGTGATTTTGAAGTAGTCTTGATGTAGTGTGGTTGTTTGTGCTCAGAAACATGTTTCAGAAACTGCTGATCTACTGGGATTTTCAAACACAGCCATCTCTAGGGTTTACAGAATGGTCAGAAAAAAGTAAAAATATCCAGTGAGTGCTGGGTGAAAATGCCAAGTCTGAGGAGAATGGACAGACTGCTTCCAGCAGATGGAAAGGCAAATATCAGCTAGTTACAATCAAGAACATTGAAAGACGTGGACTACAGCAGCATAAGACAACACCAGGTGATATTCCTGTCAGCTACAAGCAGGAAACCGAGGATACAGTTCATGTTCTTAGCGGGCAGGAGATTGGAAAACATTGTCTGGTCTAATGAGTCTCAATTTCTGCTGCAACATTCAGATGGCAGGGACAGAATCGGGCAGAAACGTCATGAAAGCGTGGATCCATCCTGACCTGTGTAAACATTTCAGACTGCTAGTGGTGGTGTAATAGTGTGAGAGATATTTTCTGTGTTTTTAAACACCACAGTCTACCTGAACACTGCCACACAGAAGACCACATCCATCCCTTTATGACCACAGTGTACCCATCTTCTAGTGGCTGCTTCCAGCAGGATAACGCAGCATGTCACAAAGCTCAAGTCAGACTGACAGACAATAAATTCACTGCAGTCAAATGGCCCCCACAGTCTCAGTAGAGCACCTCTGGGTTGTGCTGAACAGGAGAGTCACATCGTGGATGTGCAGCCAACAAACCCGCCGCAACTGTGTGACGCTGTCATGTCAACATGGTCCAAAAGATGATCTCTGAGGCAATGTTTCCAGCACCTTATTCAATCGATGCCATGAGAATTTAAAGAAGTGTAGGTGAAGGTGTACCTACTAACGTCACCAGTGAGTGTATTTTATGTTTTGCAACAACTTTTGAAGTTAAAAGTTGTCTCGGGTGGGCTCTGATACATTTTTCAATGACAGTCAGGTTTGTATGGCATCGAATATGAACACTCTGTTGCTCAAGGTGCATGCATGCAGCGTATTCAGCAATTTCTTAAATGAAATGTAAAATTCAATCCAAATATTCAACTGAACTTGGTCACCAGCACTTGGACTGATACGTTGCAGTTGTATTTGCATACCGGTGCCTTTGCCCTTTTCGCTGATTATTAATGATGTTTCACAGGACACAAACCTCCATTTGTCATTTGAGGATTTTTATCCAGGAAAATGTTATTGAATGAATAATTCCATTTTGGGAAAGGTCACGGTCTCGGGTCTCAGCTGAATATTTTTTTTCGCACAAGAAACCCGCGCAATAATTAATGTGAAGGAAAAGTTGTCAGGGGTGATGACAAGCGAGAGCTAAATGTTAAACTCAGTAGGTGAATTATTATTTAATGACTACACTTGATTTATGAGGAATAGATTCACTCATGTAGGCTTTCCATTAACACAGACACTGAGCTGTGTTCTCAGCACTTTTGTGTTGTAACCTTCATTACCCTGCGCTGCTGTATACGTTACTGATTTCAGCGTCTGTAATTATGACTGGGTTACTTACGCTCGAATAGAAAGGCTCTCCTGACACACAGATGACATCTTGCTCTTGAATGGTCAGAATATCTTTGGCCAAGTGTAGTCGAATATTAAACGGCTCCTCATTACCTTCTTGCATCAAATAAATCCCAGTCTTTGTCTGTGAACAGTCAGAGAGATAAAATCATTCATCATCCCTCCATGACTAAATTAACTGGCCATGAAATGAAATGTCATTGAGAATACTCGCTGCAGAATGAACATGGAAATTAGGAAACAGGGTTTTGGTGTCTATTATTTTCTTCTTTTTTTTAAATTACTCTTCTTGTTAAGGCTAATGTCGGACCAAATAACCACAATAGCAGCTCTGAGTAATAAACAACCAATTTGGATAACAAAATATACAAGAAAACAATTGATATATGGCTTATAAGCCGCATTCTGCGAGTCCAAATAACACTTTTGTACCCTCTGTTCCACGCTGAGACACAGAAACCCAAATTATATCATCACATTGTATTATTATATCAAATGGTGACAAATTAAGAAGCTGTGAAATTCAGTGGCTCAAATCAAATCGACCTCTGCATTTGAATCTCCCTGCTTTCCACGAGCGGGTGTGAGAGCGGCGTGTGTGTTTCCAGTGAACCATTTAAAACACGCTAATCTGCATGCATTTGCATTCTGCGTATCCTTCCTCATCCCCAGCTAATTGTGATGCCTGTCCTGTCCTTGACTTAAAAAGGTCTACATGAAAGGAGCACCTTCACCTGACAAGACTGCTAATAGAAGAAAGCCACCAGTGTCAGTATCCTTGTCGCCCAGGATACGCCACTCATCGGTTCACAAGACAGGCTGGTTGCATGACTGCTATTCTCAGACAGAGAGACAGCGAGAGTATCTCTCAAAATTGCGGGTCGAACTTGAATCAAAGTCAGTTTGCGGAGCATATTATCTTTCACCCTAAATGAGGAACGTGAAGAGCCAAGCCCTCGCCTGCAGCTGCAGCGTGAGAAATGAAATGAGGGAGCCATTAATTCACGTTATTTGAGGTAATGTGTGTCTGTGTGAAAGTCATTAGCCAAGCGAAATGAGGGTAGTAGTGTTTGTATATTAGCCGGGTCAGACAGCATCTCAGGTGACTGAGCATTATTTGACCCGCTGCAGTGCTTGTATTGTACATAATGAACCTCATCCTTTATCCTATTTTATAATTCACTATAATTCACACCAACCTCCGAAACACCCCACCATTATCAGCTGTAGTCTGCTGGCGTGCATGTGGCAAACTATGAGGAAATCTTCTTTTAATCAAGGACCATTACAGCGAACGCCAAACGAGATTAATTTTTTTTTTAAAGGAAAATAAATTTTTCTGATGTTTCCTATCAAGAGGACCTGCAGTGAACTTTGTTGCATTTTGAAAAAAGACGGTCGAGGAGCAAAAACGGAAAACCAGCTTGTCAACATCGCGTGCCTCACATCTCAGCATCTCCCAGCTGTGAGATGCGATGCAAGGCAGAGATGCGAGGAAGCTGCCCAAAGAGAAATCCTCGGTTCCTCGGGTCAGTCTTTAGCAGCATCAGTTACTTGTGATGTGCTGCAAAACTGTCAACCCCAGCTGGTACGAGTGCCCAAAGAGCCTCTTCTCTAACATAAAAAAGAGGTCTTTATTCGTTTCGATGCACACTTTGATCAACATGGCTGCTCTGTAACAGCAGAATCACTGTTAATGATTTAGTTATCATTGAACATTCCTTTTAATCTTCTAAGTCAGTGTTGCTGGGGTGGGTTTTTTTGTTATGATTTCTGAGCTATTTATTTACTTGCAGCACCATCTGCACAATGATGCACCATACAGCAGCGTCAGATTGCAAATTCAAAAAATAAATAAATAAAAAGCTGTGGCTTTGATGATCTGTATATTTTACATTTCCTCATTCATCCATTAAGCGAGTGAAAAAAGCTGCGACTCTGTGACGCCAACACATTTAGCAAGTAATCAGCCTGTATATTCTGAACTGTCAAGATTGATCACCCTCCCATGAGTGTGTATTGTGTTGCATCACAACTGCAACTTTGTTCTGTCATAGGCGCTGCAAGAAAAAACTTGCAGCATGTATACATCATTCCAGCATATAAAAGACTTCAGCACAGGGTACACCTGTATTTCCTCACTCTTACTCATCCAGAAGCCTCCACTCTCCGTGCATTTTCCAGGTCAGGGAAGGAGAGAGGATGCAAGTAAGCAGAAGTTAGCATGATGAAAAGCACAGAGGGTTTCGGTGTGCCTTTGTGCCGGCATGTTACATGGCTAGCCTCGCTAATTTATGATAGCTGGGTGATAAATGAAGCGGCTATGGTCTCTGCTTGAGAAACGCTATCAGAGAGTAAATCAGCTGCAGATCCATCATCACCACCTTCCCTTGTTGCTCAGGATGTCAGATAAGATGAACTCATAAAGTGAAAGCTAAAAGACATTAAGTGGTGTGTTTTGTTGTGTAGCTTTACTTGTTTTTTTTTTGTGGGGGGAGTTTGCAGTTGACAGATTAAAGGGGGATAAAGGGGGCCCAGTGAGACTGCACATGCACAAACTGCACTGTATGTGCCCCGCTGCTGTTGTAGCCACAGGCCCTCAGATACCTTGCATGCTTTAACACTGTTTCCAAGTGCCTGAAAATGCCTCGCCGCTTTCTATAATCTTGCTCAATTGTTACATTGATTAAATTCTACCAACCTCTTCATTTGAAGTCTTGAAATCCATGTGCTACTATGCAGTGAGGGATACTGCAATAGAGAAAAACAAGACTGAGTTAGTCGGAGGAGACAAATGCTTAAAGACACGACTGGCCTGCTGCAGCAAAACCACAGAGCTGATTTAAACCAGCATTGTTAGCGGGATGCCTATTCTCATTATAGTCTCATACAAAACACAGACAAAGGAGAGAAATGTTTTTTTCATTGAAACGTGCCTCTTCTAAGCGACAAGAACAAAAGAAAATCCTCACTGAGCAATGTCAGGAGACAACCGGAGACCATTAAGGGTTAATGAATAATTTATTACAAAGGTGAGAGCCCAGGTATCCTAATAAATGTTTCAATATCGAATCCAGCACTCCCAGAAATGAACCGTGTTACTGGTGGAAGCAGAAGACTGTGGAAAGTGCTACTACAAAACTACTACAGATTATGTGTTTAGAAAGTAAAAGTGCGCTCTGCCCAAAATAACATGCACGCATTTTAAATTATCTGACTGCTTCCATACAGACGCAAGTAGTCTTTGAGTAATGTTGTGAGAAAGCCGCATTTACATAAACCGGTTCCACTCAGTTATAATCAGACATGACTGCCACTTGACTCGACAAAACGAGCGCAGAGCAAAAATGGCTCATACTTGAATTATAGAACCTGTGCTGCAGAGGGAGTCGGAGACTTACCTCAGCAGAAAGGCCCCCAGCTCTTTGTACGTTCAGCCCTAGCCATCGAGCAGTGAGTTGATCCCCGATCTGAGCCGTAGCAGAGGGCCTTCCCGGATCATGGCTGTCAGACTTGGGTGGTGGGGGAGCAATGCTGTCACCTCTCCTGCTACTCTGTAAGTGCTGCAGGATTATTCCCAGAGGAGCCGGTGCTGGAGAGCAAAAAGAGGCTATCGTGAAGTGAGGTTTCTCTCCTCGAGGTCCCTTATCGGTGGTCGTGCTGCAGTAGCAGGAGGAGGATGTGGCTATGGTATCATCCTGATCCTAGAACCACTCGAGAGCTGAAACAAACAAAGAAAAGAAAAGAAAATGCAAGTCTTCAAGTAATGCTCTGAAACAAGGCTGACTGTTGATTACATGCTTCTGGCTACGACTCAAAAGAATCTTAATACAGACAAGTGTGTTTTCACTGCAAATGCTGCGTTTATGTGGGATGTTGAATCAGAAGCAAATTCACAGCTTTTTTTTTTTTTAAATAACCACCTGGTTAAAAAAAACAAACAAAAAAAAGCAGAGATGCAAACACAAACTCACAACTGTGAATCTCGTTTCTCAGTCTAAGATGAAGGATGCACTCAAACACCCCACTGTCGATTCATGAACGCAAATGCCGAAATGCAATTAACTCATATTCTTCGCCTTTCTTGTGTTCTTCGTATGCTAAGCACACATGACTATCTCAACACGTTTATTAACTTCCCATTGCTCATCCTTGAGAAACCCTCCTCGTTAGTATGTATTTTTGGCTCGTTGCCACCCTTTTGTTGAGTTGCGGCGTTGCTACTTTGATCATTGTTCCGCGCGATTAAAAGAACTCACAGTATATGCATTTGAGGCCACATTTCATGCATAAATCACTGACTTCTGATTATACTGTAAAAGTAGACTTAGTGAAACTTGCAAATGTTTGTTAATCACTGGAGAACAGAGAAGGGAACAAGAGCGCGAGCACCTTTAAGGAATATGGGCTGAATCGAAACAGAAGAAATTTTCAGAAAACTCTCAAATACTAATATTATGTCAGAATCAGCGCAAGAACTCAATATAGCTGTGTGATATCATTATTCTTTTAAAAAATGATCAGTCTCAGATCTCCAGCTGCTGATTCAAGCTGTTGGACAGAAGTATTGGGCCTCACCTCTTACTTAAGTCTGGGAAAGAACGGATCATATTAAAAGGCTTAACATAATCGAGCGTGGTAGTGTAGGACGCCACCAGTGCAACAAATGAGTCGGTGAAATCTTCTTCTCTCCTAGATGGTCAGCTATCAACTTTAAGAGGTTTTATTGCCAAGTGGAAGAGTTTAGATAAGCACCTCAGCAGACCACGTAATGTCACAGAGCAGGGTCGCTGGTTTTGGGTCCCAAAAACCTCCTCTGACATTAACAGCAGAACAAAAACTGTGCACTGGGAGCTTCGTGGGATGGGTTTCAATGGATGAGCAGCTCCTACGGGTGCAGCGTCGATCTTTTAGTCAGTTTCTTTTAAACTTTCTTTCTCATGCTGGGTTGCATTTTGGAAACTTGAATGTTGAACTCTTTAAAATGAATAATGTCTGTTTAGTGTTTATTCTTTTTTACTATAGCTTAGCTACACAGTTTTCTTTCACCTTTCATTGTGATGATGTGAGAATGTTTTTCTGTTACATGAGTGGACACACAAACAGGTAAAGGCAAAGTAATCCTGAAGAAACAATCATTTACTGAGTATCTACTGAGCAAGATGCTTTATTATCTGAGGCGGCGTGAAAACAGTAGCTGATAATTAAAATAAGTAGCGGATCATTATGATCTAATTATTAGCTAATGACTCACCGATATCTCCTCGCTTGGTCTTTAGAAAATAAGCAAGTATTTGTTTCCCTTAGAAAGTGTTTCCAACACAGAACAATCAATACACCTAAAATAGATTAAATACCAGCTAACACAGTGTAATAAAGCCCACAGTGACAGTTTCAGTATTTGTTTTCTGTTGAATGTGATTCAAAAAGGTGTTGATTTAACCTCTCCCAGGAGAGAGGAAAAGTCCTCACACAAAGTCTGAACTGGTGACGACTGATTTCCAGCATTAAGCACCTTAATGCTGGAATGAGCTGCAACACAGCTTGAAGCTGTGAAGACGTTCATTTCTCTGGGTAGCTGTAAAACTTTACTGGCCCATATTTCTCATACATTGTGTGTGTGTGTGTGTGTGTGTGTGTGTGTGTGTGTAGCAGTTGTCTTTAGTGGATTATATTACTATAGAGGTTTTGTATGCAAAAGAGGTCTTCATCTCAGTAGGCATAAATAATCCTTCACTAACTAACTATAAATGAGGTGGATTTTTATTCACCTCTTCAATATTATTAACCTCAATTTATGGCAAAAAGATCCATTTGTTTGTGTACATGGGCCCAAATTAGCCTGTGTTTATAACACAGTCAGCATAGCTTTGAGTCTTTCAACGGGAAGCATGTTTCCAGCCTGAAACATGTATGTTGTGTGGTCTTCATAGTTACCCTGGCAACCGAGAAAGTGGAGATTTGAAAAAGTGGCAATCATTTTTGGACCTTTCGTTGTTTATTTGAAATTATAATTAAGTACTATTTTTCTTTTGCAAATGTTTTATTTGGAAAATTTTAAAAACAAAAAAACAATCCTTGTAGTCCTAGCTGGTTCCCGTGAGCTGTGAAATGATTTAAGCCACTTCCAAAGAGGACTTTTCCTCTTTTAAAGGTGGGAAATCTTCAATTCAAGTTCATGGACATGAATGAATGAATAAAGCACTGATCTGATGCAAACTCATGCTCAGGTTAACAAAAATAAGGAGGTAAGATTCCCGTCCAGTAACATGAATCACACGTTCAGGCTATTTCACAAACTGCAGTGAGACTGTGTTGCATGAGAATATACTGCACTACATTTGCTTTAACAATATGTTCTTAATAAACTGGCATCTGACTGTAGTCTGAAACTGTTCTTTACAGTGTAGCGTGAACTGTATTGCATTATAGTACCACTACTAGTTAATAAGAAGAATTTATCTTTACCAACTTTGATTCGATTTTTTAATTCCATCATTTAATGATTTTTGTGCTTTTCTCTATGTTTTCCAAAAATAAATTGATTATTGGTAAGATTGAATGAATGTTTATTAAGATAAAACCAGCTTAAATATGCAAAACCTGGATCTTGTGACTCCCAATATTAGAAATTTCCTGATGCAGTAAACTGAAAGGATGAGTGGGAGATATGGAAAGCAGTAGTAAAGGTTGTAGTAAATTAGATTTTAGCATCTATGACATGAACTGTCCTGTTTATTTCTGATTATTATTACAGAAGAATAAATGTTTTTTTTTTACCTATGACATGTTTTTTTTCTAAATTTGTGAAAGTGTGTTAGTTTCACTGATATACTGATTGTGCTAAGCGCTGTTGCTAATTTTAAAGGTTGAACTTTTTAAGGCTTTTGCCTCCACTTGCTCTCCAAACTGTCAGAGTCAGGCCGGCTGTGTGTAACGGATGTAAGAAAAATCCTGACATCATTTGCAGGCCTGCTTTAAAAATGAATGCCTTCACATGGTCAGCTGAAAAATGTGTCTGCAGCTCTGATATGAGCACTTTGTCTTCACAGGTGCCCTCCTGTATATCCTGTCAGATGCCAGCGCTTCTCCAAAGATGAAATAGGCCAAACCTTTTGTGCCTTTTAAGTCGAGTCAGCAGAACTCCTTTTACAACCACGCCATCAGATATTTTCAGTCCTACCAATTTGCCAAGCAATGTTTTTCAAATAACGCTCTTGTGTCTGACACAATAGCTGAAAACACAGCAAGAGAGCAGCGTGAGATTAGCTAGATGGTGTGGAGATTGTAACATGACATCTCCATCTCGTAGACCTGAGGACAGCTGTGGCCCATACAGGATGATAAATGGCCGTTTGTGCGTAGGTGGAGCAGCTGTCTGCAGAGTGCTCCGCCACACGTAGCTTTCCCTCTCGAAAATTGAGATGGGTTTCACTTACTGTATGTTCATTTGTTCTGCAACCTGGAACATATGGTGCCTGAGAGTGCAGCTTTTTTAATTTGGAGAGCGATGATAGGAGGTATTATGTTACTCAAATATTATGGCGTCTCAGAAGCAGTTCCACTCAACAGCAACGGCATTGCACTGATGAGATTTCACAAGATCTGCCAGTTCACGTGAGAAAACAATGACACTTCTGTTATGAGCTGGCAGCTTCATCTAATGCCTGATATGTTTACCTTCTGAATCCAGCCTATAACTTTTAAAGCTGTAGAGTCAACGTGGGCAAAGTATGAATTACATTTAGCTGCTTTGTAAAGAAATTTACATCATCATATCATCATCCTCCAACAGTTATTTCTGATCTGTGATCATAACTGTTTATCATTACAGACAAGCAAGCAAGAAACATGACTTGTCTTGTTTTTTAGCAAGGTAGAGTCATTCATTACCACCAGCATTACAAAATAATATTTGGATTTAAGAACATCGGTGCAGCACAGTCATGGAAACCGTCTTGTCAGTGCTCTGTGCGTTGAATTTTTAGCAAGTGACAAAAACACGACACTACAAGTTTTATAGTTTTATTCATGTTTACATTCACTGCTGCTGTCTCGAACTGTTGGCTCAGGGTTAGTGGAGCAGCTCTGGCTTTCTGAGAAGGAAATCCGAGGTTAAGGGGGCACCAGAGAGGTAAAAACTGACTTAATCTGGAAAGCACCAATATTCTGATATACTGCCAGATTTATATTTATTTCAGATTCTTGAAAGCTAAACAGTTTTTTCTAGCATTTGTTACGTGTGGTTATTTAATGACTCCTTTACGCTTACAACTGCTCGGATCAGCTGGTTGTTGTAATTGTGGCACTCCAAACACGTGTGGCCAAAAGGGAAGTTACAGATTGCCATTTGGTGGGCAAACTATGCAACATTAATTAACAGTGATAAGATATAGTCCTTTTCCACTAGAACCTTCTCTGCTCGACTCTGTTCGTTCCACCGATCGGCCAGTCAATAACATCACTCGATGGATCATGAGAGCGACTCCTTAAAACCGCCAAACCCGGCAATAAAGCACATGCCTGCACACAAATCACGGGTAACCAAATCTGACAAACGCCATACACAGGTATACCATCACCTCCTCGTCCTCCATTGTTGTGTTGTGTTTGAGTCGCATACAATGACATAACGGGACTTTTGCTCACACTGCTATAACCAGGGGTGCACATACGTGGTCCGCAGGTGCGCATTCGCTGTCAAAATAAAAGACGCGCACC